CGCACAAGCTGCATACACAGAAGCAAACAGGGAAGTGAAGAAGAGCATCAGAGCTGACAAACGAAAATATGTGGGAGATCTAGCAATGATGGCGCAAAAGGCTGCGAGAGACGGAAACTTGAGACAATCGTACGAAACAACAAAGAAGCTGGCCGGAAACGATCATAAACCACAACGACCAGTGAAAAGCGAGGAAGGGAAAGTAATCAGCAACACTGAACAACAGCGAAATAGGTGGGTAGGGCCATTTCAGGAACTCCTGAAATGACCAGCTCCACTGAACCCACCCAACATCGAAGCAGCATCCACGGACCTCCCAATTAATATTGGCGCACCTACGATTGAGGAGATCAGTATGGTCATCAGACAAATCAAGAGCGGCAAATCAGCAGGACCGGAGAACATTCCAGCAGAGGCAATGAAAGCATATGTAGAAGCAACTGCGAAAGTGTTTCACATCCTCTTGAAGAAGATCTGGGATGAGGAACAAGTACCATCAGATTGGAAAGAAGGATACATGATCAAAACACCAAAGAAAGGCGATCTGAGCAAGTGTGAGAACCACAGAGGCATCTCTCTTCTCTTCAAGAATATGCTGAGGAAGGTACCTAATAAGAGAAAATATGTATAGTTTATGATGGAAGTTTTCGTTTTGGCGAAATTCTATGTTTTGATAATACAAAAAGATATAAAGAGAGGTATCAAGCTTGTAAGATTTGGGTTGGTGACAGTGTAAAAAAATATGTTGTTATCAATAGGCGATTATCACACCAAAATGTTTAAAGTAATGGACAAGTAACACGAATAGAAAACATATTAGCACTATAGTAACGATTTCAGCCTTTCAAAAAAAGCTTATTATTACCTGTGTATATGATTTATAAAATAACGAAGGCTTTCATAATGAGCACCGGGTAAACGAGCTAATATTTTCTTTAGCAAATCCAATTTCTCCTGTTCAGTAAGTCGGTCATCTCCTGAAAATGAAGTGTATATACAGAATTATTTCAAAATCTAATACATCAAGATTACTACAGCTGAAAAACATAAATAATTCCTCATTCTTCTAAAACAAAACCAACAACTTGATCTGGTTGCATTCCGAAATAATTATCAAGCCAAACTAATCATCTACGGATTAACATATTTCAGTGAGAAATGGAATTTTAAAGAAGAAGCAAGAAGCCATAAACCCAATAGCCTAAATCGAAGTAAATGGGACATGGAAAGAGCCTATGGCTTGATGATTAACGCCCTGCTTTACAGAGTTTTGTAGCAACCACTGTAGAGTCAGTAGTTAAAAAACATTGATTATTCTATTATTTCGTTGTTCAGTATTGAAAATATGAAATCTGCTTTTTACGATTTCGCTAAATCGACAAGAAGTATATATGATAAAAACGATAAAAGTGAAAAACGCAACCTAGATAGGACCAATCAATTAAAACCAATGTGAATTGATAAAACTCATAATTTTGTTATCAGGAATCCGTTATAAGTTGGTTGATGATACTAAAAATTTTCGTCGATTTAAGTGGCAATGATAAATTTCACGAATCCTGGACCACTATTAAATCTTTGCACAATCAGAAGTGAAAATAAAATTTAATTAACACCTTCATCAGGAATTTGACGATGAGCTACACAAGTATGGAAGCTAGTGATACCACATGGTTGCCTAAACCGAAGTAAGTGAAGTGCGGATTGATCCTGGAACTTAAAAACTGAAAGTCAAATCTCTTAACCATCAGGCCACCACCGCACGCATTCAGAGGCAACGCTTCATAAAACTTCAAGAAAACCTTCGGAATTATGAATGAAGATTTTTCGAGCTCTAATTCAGGAATACATTTTTATGTCTAAATGACTGTAAGTACGTTTATAAACTGTGTGGGTTGAAACATACTGAGAATGTGTTTGGTCAGAACATCTTTATTGCTTACAAGAGTTAGATAGTATAAGAGTGACGGGATAAAATTATTGAATAATGAGCAATTAATAGAGTAGGTTCAGTTTTTAACAGATTCACTACATCAACCATTTAGCTCTTTGAATACTACAGTTCAAACAAATATTTTATTCATTATTCACAATGTTTCAGATGTTGAAAGTTTCAATAAATTAGATCGAATTATATCTCGGAAACTTGGATTAATTTTAAATGTGTTCTTTCTCTATTAATGGCGTTGTATCTTGTCTAAGCTGGAAAGTTCGATTGAAAACTTTCGATCATTGTTCTGGACAACATAATGAACTTGTACTCACTTTTTTGCTAGCTAGTTGACACACAGAGTTATAGCATAGAGGATAGTGTCATTTTTTCTTACCATCCTCTTGATATTTTAATTGAATCGATGTAACTAAGGTGAACAGGTACAAATTGGGGTCAAAATTAAAATTATTACAGAAAAACAAATAGGTATTGTTTCTATCCGTGCAATTGTTTAAAGGAATAAACCAATAAAAAGAATGATATATAGGTAAGCGAACGACGAGATCAGTGATTGGTTCACAAAAATAACATTTGTGTCCATTAAGAAGATTTAGTGAATTAGAACAATATCATAAAGCTAGAACTATTGCCAAAAACAGACACTTTTAACAAAGTTATGATTAAATCATTTCAGTTTTGTAAACAAAACAAAATTTAATTTAACAATTTTCTCTATCGAATTCAATTGAAACAACAAACAAGATAAAATTAACTAATGATATATATATATATATATATATATAAAATCTAGTCATTCTAAGATTAAAATATGATGTAGTTCTGTTTTTACTTACTAACAACATCCAATAAGTCTGGATATGCTTCATAGGTGATTAGTGGAACAGGTAATTGACGTAGAAATGATTTAATCAAACTTGTCAAAACATTGATATCTCGAACACGTACTTCAGATACATTTGCCAATTCCGGATCTGAGGAAGAGAAATACATTTAAATAGGTAGATGTGATAAGTATCAACAATGAAAACAAATAATGTATTTACTTGTTAACTGTTTAAGAGGTTAGGCTCAGTAGTTTCAGTAAATGATTTTCATTCATTTAATGACTAACTTGAACTTCACTCTAGTTGATGTAGAGTGAAGAGTATCTTCGATTGTTAAACCTTTACCTTTGTGACTAGAATTTAGAAGACAAACATGAAATGGAATCATAATTATACTAATATTGAAACATACAAAATTTTCGAATCCAAAACGAACTATTTTATTCGTATACTTGAACTTGTGTAGAAGTAAAGCTTGAACTAGCCACTTATTTTGAAAACTTTTCCACGAAATTATATATATACAAAATTAAGTATAGAGAAAGTCTCAAGTATGCTGAAATCAACAAGAAACAAAGTAAAATAAAATCACCATACAGACTATTACCTTATTTTGTTTTTCTCTACTTAAAAAAACTACTCTAGAAGTATCATTACGATATTTTAGCTGTACTTGATGAAGGTGAGAGAATGATGATAAATCAGACGTGAGGCAAACTATTTGTGTCATATGACTGACGTTTGATAGTTTTGAAAAATATTAAATTTGAAGTAGCACATACACTCTACCCAAAAATGAATTATTCACTACTACAAAATACTTATTTATTTACAATCAAATCAAATCAAATCTACATACTATTGTCTACAAAGGGGTTATAAATAAAATTCTTGTTAGTTATGAATACAAAACTATTAATGAGCACTTATCACATTTATTAGATTAAAATGTGTTATAATTAAGAGCATGATTGTATAAAGTTATCACTGATCTATTTCAAGATGTTGACTTTGCATATGTTGGGACAAATTTAATAACTTTCCTATGATTTAGAAGACAGGTCCAACAGAGTATATTTATTCCTGAATAACGAAAGAGGAACTCATACACTAAAAAGAAACGAATGATAATTGCTAGAGAAAGTTTGTCTAGTTGTTCTTGAAATATATTCTTATCTTTTTTATCAATAAGTAGAGCCCTAACAGGTTTCCTTGCGATATTTTTCCTACATCCAATGAGACGCAAGCGAATACGCGCTCGCACTAGAGCATGGTCTGAATCCAAACAAGTGCTCCAGAATGAGTGACAGTCTTCAATAGAGATGTGATCTGACAATCGTTGGGTCGGTTTCAGGGGTCGCCAGGTCAAAAGGTGTTTTTCTTTATCCTTAAACTGTGCTTGCTAGATATAGGTGATTATCTGCGCATAGCTACAGCAGACGGTCGCCATTATCTGTTCGATCAGCCGCGACACCGTAAGAACTACCAAAGTGTCTTTCCTTTTCACTAAGTCTACCTACGTGAGCGTTAAAGTCACGAGCCATTATTACTATAAGAGAGCGCTTAGTCAGTCAGTCAGTTACAACGTGGAACTTCGTACGTAAGTACATCAGTTCAGGTTGCCATACAGCATCAGCACAGAGACACCACTGTCACTTTAGATCCCATAGTGTTGAAGATAGCAGAAGAAGTAGTGGTAATGGAGAATATTGTGGATAGAAGTTATTATTCAAGAAGCATACTGCCCTATCACTAGATCAGTTGTCGATGCAACCTAATCTTGAAGCAACATTTCGCATTTCGAGGGGGAGAACCGCATCCCGAATATGCTTGTACTATTGCTTACGCTAGTCAGAAGACTATGCATTTTTACAGCGTTTTCACCTAATAGAACTATGTCATCAGCACACTCTAGCATTCTCGAAGCATGGCTCCTGCTAGAAAGTCCACACCTGAAAAGTAAGGGCAAGATAAAGTTATATCTAGAAGCATGTGTATCACAAATGAATGGGGAGAGTGGACATCCCTGACATACACCACTTGAAGTAAAGAATTCCGAAGACAGTTCGCCAAAAGCTCTCACTCAACCAGTGGTGTTCGAGTAGAGAGCTTGTATAAGGTTATAGTACTTCTACTACTACTACTACTACTTTCAATGACAGACACTGCCACAGAACCTCATGATCAACAGAGTCAAATGCCGCTTTTAGGTCCAGAGAAACAACTATTGTGTGTGTGTGTCTATGTTCCAGGACCTGTCGTAGTGTGAAGATGTGGTCTATACAGCCACGTCCAGGTCGAAAGCCAGCCTGGTTTTCTCGAGTTTGCTCTTCACGAGCTTTCGTTAAACGTCGAAGTATTATTGAGGCCAATATTTTAGATACTATATTAGTTAGACTGATTCCCCTGTGATTGTCACAAGACTTTTGTCTTTTCTTGTAGATTTGGACAATCAGTGATTGAGACCAGTCGGATGGGATTATGTCCAGTTCCCAGATTCTACACAAGATCTCAGTCAACCTAGCTGCTAAAACTGGACCACCATCCTTAAATGTCTCAGGGATCAGTCTATCAGGACCTGCAGCTCGTCCTCGCTTCAGATTACCTAACGCTTTTTCAACGTCATTAAGACTAGGGGGACTTACGTCGACTTGCCATTCAGGATGACTGGAGATCGTGGGTAACGGAAGAGTGGCTCGAGGCCAGTTGAACTGATCCCTTAAGTGTTCTGCCCATCGATCCAGTCTCCTCGATTGAGAATAAATAATAGTCACGTCATTTTCTGAGATAGTCTCACTTACACTAGGATTCCTAATACCAGTTTCCTTGATAAGTCAGAAAAGCTGTCCATTGTTGCCTATCGTCGCCTAACTGTCTTTCTAGTTGTTCCTGAAATATATTTTTCGCCTCATTATCATTAAGTAAAACCCTAAGAGGCTTTCTTACGGTGTCTTTCCTACGCCCAGTAAGCTTCAAACAAATACGCGCTCGCACTAGAGCATGGTCTGAATCTAAACATGTGCACCACAACGAGCGACAGTCCTCTATCGAACCTCTCCATCGGTGGCTGATGGCGATATGATCTAGTTGGATCCAACGTTGAGACGACATCGGGGGTCGCCAGGTCAACAGATGCTTTTCCTTATGCCTAAAGTTGGTGTTCGCTAAGAATAGGCGGTTGTCTGAGCACAGTTGCAACAGACAGTCACCATTGTCTGTACTCTGAGACGCGGCACCATAACATCCACTAAGGTGTCTCTCCTGCTCACTTAGTCTACCTACTTGAGCATCCTAGTCCTCAGCCATTATTACTACATCAGAGCGCCTAGCTTTTTGGAGGAGGCCCTAAAGCTTTCTGTAAAACTCATATTTAACCTCGTCTGAACTGCAGTCAGTGGGGGCATAGGCAGATAAGACGATGAGGTAACGACGACCACTCAGTGCTATACCTACGCCAGCAAGACCCCTGGAAGCAGCATCAGGGCTTCCAGATACACGATGAGTAAATCGAGCTGCTTCTTTATTTTGACAAGGTGAAATCAGATTAATAATTTTACTAAGATCCTGTGTGCGCGTTTCCGAGACACAGCATACATTGATGGCACGACATTCTTATGTCCTAGCTAATGATGCCTATTGCCCTATTTGACACAATGTCCGTACATTAAATGCTCTAACATGTAGACTAGAACGAGGTTTGAAGAGACCAGGAATGACGTTTTGTGAACTCGCATCATTTGCATTAGCGGTGCAGTGAGATAAGGGAATGTGAGTAGAGTTAGTTGTGGAGAGAAGAGAGGTATGTTTGGGTGTAGGAAGGATTTGATTTTGACCAATTCGGTCTCGTGTGCTGTTACGGGTATGAGGGTGGTTGTCACTTCCCGGCTGCTCACACCGTGGAAGGTTGTTTCTTGAGGGACTTGAAAAAGAAGGTAGATTAGTGTTGGTCTTGGAGACCTGGGAGCGTGACCGCAGAGTACAAGGGACAACTGCTTGAGGCCGGTCACGCACGGCCTTTTTATGAAAGGTTTTTTGAGTATTAGCTCCGCTCTTGAAAGACCTTAGTGGGCACCCTTACCGACGGAGACGGAAATCCGTGAGGTAGGGTGAGGTGTGACATTTTTAGGGTCGACCTTTTCTAAGCCTTCCTATCTTGTGAGAAGGCAGCATCGTTGCAGATGATGGTTGTCCGAGTGAAACACCTTACTGCTGTCACACCCCTCTACAGTCAGCAGTAAGACTTCGCCCTCAGATCTAGGGTAGCTGCTTTTAGTCTCATCGTTCTCCAATCGACCTGCCTGGCATGGTAGAACCTACGGGAACATATGTTCCAGCCAATATAGTTCGGTTGGTTTATCACGATAGGCAAGCCCGACCACCACGTCAAGGCAACAGCTACGGTCGGGAACTGTTATCAGCTGAGGTAGAGAATAGTGAGCAATTGAAACAATGATATATGTCATAAAGTGAGTACTGTAAAGTGTGATGATCTCGGTTACTGGGTAAAAGGAAAGGCATAGATGAGTACTGATATAATAATTTTCAGTACTTCTTTACTAGCTTTCGCTCAGTAATGTATCCCTAGGTTGACAGAACAACAAAAATACGATATAAAAGATGAATAGTTTAGAAACCGTTGATTACGCGAACTAACCTTTATCGAATTCAGTACGTAATTCTTCCACAAGATCATAATTCCCAGGAATACGATAGAGACCTTCGCAAAATAAACCATCTCGACGTTCCACCTCTTGGATACATTTAATTAGCAGCGTTGGTACAGCCCTACAACAAAAATAATAAAGTCGAATAGATAAACTAAAAATGCTAAAAACGCAAAACCAATCTTTGTTGCAAAGTATTTTTAATTCTTTTAACTTCGACTGATCATAAATATGGCAATATATTGATAACAACCGATTGAGATTAAAATTATTTGATTTATGCTGATTACTATGTGATAGTTCTGTACAATCAACCCTAGTAAAAAGACTAACACAAGAAAAAATGTGATCGTAAAAAAAGACAACTCAAAAGGAATAAAATCGATAGACGATAAATAAGGGGAATTATTCAACTTATGATTTAGAAGGTACATAACGAATACAGTTGGACCAGTGGCGAACAATTTAATCATATTGACCAACCTCTTCAATCACTAATCAGGAGAATGGCATGCTACCCTACCAAGAAATATGTACCTGGCGACAATGCTCAACCAGCAGTCAATACCTCCACGAACTGACATTATATTGAGGTAGGCAGCTGCTAAGTACACATAAAATGTTTAAACCGCCAGAGTTGATATTTTCCAGCTCTAGAAATAAAAATCCTCATCACGGTTGTTAGAGATAGGATTGGATTTTGTTTATCTTGAGATGACGACGGGGAGATACAAGGTTGAACTGAACTTAAAATCGGAGCTCGTTAGGAATAAATAGTTGTCTTGATATAATTTGAACAGACAGATACCGTTCTGATTGTTGATTTGAGAAGGTAAGAGACCACGTACGTGAATTATAGTTAAGGCTAGCTTACTTAATTTAACATTAAAAACAAAAAATTAATTTAATATATTTAAGTTTCAAGCTTTTTAGGAAAGGCCTACCAATTAAGTAATATGCATCATATAAAATGACGAAATCAAAATGTGGGAAGTTAACCTAAATAGAAAGCAACAAAACAGATAAAAGAGTTAAATGAATATTTACTAACGGTCGAATCTGAAGTTCCTTATTTTGACATGAACAGAAGTGATAGAAATTTATGCTGACCAAAGATCGAGAAATTAAAAAAAATTACGTTAGAATTACACGTAAACTAATCGGAGCATCCGGAAGGGGTGACAGTTTTAGTAATTAAAACGTAGCTACACTAATTCTAACATAATTTCGTTATCTAAACCTAATTATAAACTAAAATGATGAAATAATCTTGAGCACATAGATAACATAATTAACTTTTCTTAATAAACTATGAAATAAAGGTTGGAGCGAAAAAAATGTTAATAGGCGTTTGTATCTGTTTAGATTATTCAGTAATCACATTTAAATCTGGATCAGTAAGCAATTATACACAATAATGAAAGATAAGATTACGATGGCTACATCAAATAATAATAATAACAACAAAAAACGGGATCATTTTACAAAAATAGTGAAATGATTCGTAAAAAGTATGCACGGGAAAGCTATGAGAAATATTGATCGATTAGTAATTATATTGTTCTGAATTTAACTGATATGAATTAGTTATGATGTATTCTTCCAGGATACGACCCACGTCTACTTTGAAACAAAGTTACATTTTCAACCTACCAATTAAAAATTAATCAACAAATATATATATATATATATATATATATATATTAAAATATAGAGATATCATCAGCAGCAGCAGCAACGTAGAACTTTGCACGTACGTACAGTAGTTGCCATACCACATTAGCATAGAGAGATGCAGTTGTCAATTCAAATCCTACTGTAGTAGAGGTAGTAAAAGTATTAGAAGTAATCAGAGAGATTAGGGTTCCAAGATGCTATTCAAGAAGTATATAGAGATATGGATAATATTGACCCTGCTAAAAATATCACCGAAAAACCAGTGGATTTAACCGACCCACTTAACTATAATGTTAGCTCGTTTTGTCATTATAGGGTTGTCGATACTGTTGGGCTTTATTGTAATCACGAACCGATCAATCTTAGACCACCATCAGCAACCTGGAAGCATCGAAGTTAGACATTACCACAACTGGATTCTGGGCCAGTGGTCTAAAGAGGTTAGGTGTTCACACGCAAGACTGAAGGTCCTGAATTTGATTCCCGTGTGGGGACGACGTGGCTGTGCACTGCCTATGAGTCCCGTACTGGGATGAAACGGCTATCTAGTGCTTTCAGGTTTTCAATGGCGGCGTAAAATTGATCGATCCTTAATTTCACTGGTTTTGTCTGTCTTTTCATCTTTCACCGATTTCGAAGTTATTATGGATGTGCAATCATCCCCAAATATAATTTATGGGAAAAAATATTGATTAGGATTAACCTCTGTTAAATTAAATTATTGACAATGGACCCCGTTCATGAACTTTCAATACACTTTTACTATGAATTATGTCAGTCAGTCAGATGCAACGTAGAACTTCGCACAGAGATGTAATTGTCAATTCAAATCCAATAGTAGAAGAGGTAGTTAAGGTATTAGAAGTAATCGGAGAGATCAGTTAGTCAGTGAGATAAGTTTATAAAGTCAAAACTAGAGGTTTTGAAGAATCCAGAAGATTAGAATTTGAGAGAGCTCAAAGAATGGATGCACTTGCGCCATTGCGAACGATTTTGAGCCATGTCATTCAAGGTCTCTAGCCATCGATTATTATCACCTCGCGGAACCCCAACCAGGTAGTCGACAACTACCGACATGGCTAAGTCCACTCGTCGATGACTTCATGGATTTCTGCCATGTTTTGTTTTGGCCGCCCCTAACTTTCTTCCAACCTACAACTACACTACAAAACAAAGCTCGACGAGGCAGTCGGTGGTTGAGCAAACGTAACACATGTCCCAACCACCTCAACTATGTAAGTTTCATTACTTTATCTATTGATCTGCCATTCTTACCTAGCACCCGATTCCTAATAACAGCGTTGCTCACTCGGGTGTCCCAAGATATACGAGCAATGCTTCGAAGACACCTATGATCGAAAACCAGTAACCTACGAATATCTTCTACTCTCATTGGCCATGTTTCACAGCCATAAAGTAAGACGGAGCGAACTACTGCACAGTACACTCGTCCTTTAGTCAGCAAACGGATATCTCGCCTACGCCATAAGTGACGCAGGTTGGAAAAAGCCAATCGAGCTTTCTGTATCCGTGCTGAGGTTTTGTCAATCACCAGGCCATCAGCACTGATGAGACTCCCAAGATAAATGGAGCGGTCTACACGTTCGACTACTCCACTCCCTATCATTAGTTCAGGTGCCGATGAAACCCGATCTTGAAGCAACATTTTGCATTTCGAAGGGGAATAACCGCATCCCCAACATGCTTGCATTGTTGCTTAGGGAGGTCAGAAGACTCTTCACTTTGTCAAAGTCTTCACCAAGTAGGACTGTGTCATCGGCATAAGCCAGTTGCATCCTAATAAAACGTTGGTTAAGAATCCTGACAGGTAATCTAAACCGTTTATTATAAGTGAGACTCAAGAATACTGTTGAATCAAAACGCATGTTTTCCGTTAACGGTATACCAAACCCTTTCTAAGAGATTAGAACCAGATAAGTATGTGCGCTATGCTAGTGTTTCGCAACTCCAACTTCGATACGATAAACAAAACCAGTTCTATCCATTTCTTTCCTGATCAGCTAACCAAAGTAAAAGCACCAGTTTAGTTTGGGAAGCCTTGTTGTTAATGACCCCAGTATGATCGAAAAAATTGGTAATTTATTAATTACAGTGACTCAAATATATGGACTACATAGCTGCAACCTTGACGTGGTGGTCGGGCTTGCCTATCGTGATAAACCAACCGAACTATATTGGCTGGAACATATGTTCCCGTAGGTTCTACCATGCCAGGCAGGTCAATTGGAGAACGATGAGACTAAAAGCAGCTACCCTAGATCTGAGGGCGAAGTCTTACTGCTGACTGTAGAGGGGTGTGACAGCAGTAAGGTGTTTCACTCGGACAACCATCATCTGCAACGATGCTGCCTTCTCACAAGATAGGAAGGCTTAGAAAAGGTCGACCCTAAAAATGTCACACCTCACCCTACCTCACGGATTTCCGTCTCCGTCGGTAAGGGTGTCCACTAAGGTCTTTCAAGAGCGGAGCTAATACTCAAAAAACCTTTCATAAAAAGGCCGTGCGTGACCGGCCTCAAGCAGTTGTCCCTTGTACTCTGCGGTCACGCTCCCAGGTCTCCAAGACCAACACTAATCTACCTTCTTTTTCAAGTCCCTCAAGAAACAACCTTCCACGGTGTGAGCAGCCGGGAAGTGACAGCCGCCCTCATACCCGTAACAGCACACGAGACCGAATCGGTCAAAATCAAATCCTTCCTACACCCAAACATACCTCTCTTCTCTCCACAACTAACTCCTACTCACATTCCCTTATCTCACTGCACCGCTAATGCAAATGATGCGAGTTCACTAAACGTCATTTCTGGTCGCCTGAAACCCCGCTCTAAGACTATATGTTGGAGCTTTTAATGTACAGACATTATGTCAAACAGGGCAACAGGCTTCCTTAGCTAGGACTATAGAATCTCGCTCAATCGATGTATGCTGCGTCTCGGAAACGCGCACACAGGATCTTAGTAAAATTATTAGTCTGATTTCACCTTGTCAAAATAAAGAAGCAGCTCGATTTACTCATCGTGCATCTGGAAGCCCTGATGCTGCTTCCAGGGGTCTTGCTGGCGTAGGTATAGCATTGAGTGGTAGGGCAGAATTAGCTCTCCTAGACTGGATCCCAGTAGATAGTCGCTTGTGCGCTGTCCGACTGAATGGGACAGCAAGAACTCAGAAACATCTGATGTAGTAATAATGGCTGGCGACTTTAACGCTCAAGTACGTAGACTTAGTGAGAAGGAAAGATACCTAGGTAGATCTTATGCTGTGATAGCTTAGAAAACCAATAATGGCGACCGTCTGTTCCAAGTATGCTCAGATAATCGCCTATTTCTAGCAAACACTAGCTTTAAGCACAAGGAAAATCATCTGTTGACCTGGCGACCCCCGATGTCGTCTCAACGTTGGACCCAACTAGATCATATCGCCATCAGCCACCGATGGAGAGGTTCGATAGAGGACTGTCGCTCGTTGTGGTGCACACCGAATTTACAAATTAGAGATTAGAAGTTGAATGTCTTAACGATTTAGCCACAAACACTCAATAGATATTTCAATTCGTAATACAGGCATATGGAATACGATTATAAGAATAATGAAAATTGCTCTTCACTTTAATGACTAGAAAAAACCCAGTTTTTATCAATAACCATAAAAATTCAGTTCATTCTCAGATAGTACAAATACACTGAAGACTTACTTGTTTTCGGCTCTCGCCAAATTAGTTAAGTCTACACCAAAGACTCGTTTCATTTGTTTGATATCTGGTACACAGTCACATGGTACAAGATCAGCACATCGTTTATGGGCCTTGTGAAAAATAGAGAGCAGAAGAACTATGAATACATGCAGGAATCGGAAGCGAAGAACTGAATAATTAAAAAATGATCGGTAAAAACATAGAGAGGTAATGAAGACTCTCATTTAACTATTTAGTGAAAAGTAGCCTTCGCGACATTATATTATTATTATTATTTTTAAGAATGCTGAAATCCCGACCAATAAAATTAAAAAGAGTGAGTGAAGTGTACGTATTTGCTCATTAAGTTGGTAGGACCTGACGAAGAGTGAATATCTGGTCTATAACGCCGCGCCCAGGTCTGGAACCAGCCTGGCTTTCTCTAGTCTGCCTTCACGAACACTAGTTAGGCGTTGAAGTATTGAGGCTAACATTTTGGAAACCATATTAATTAAACTGATTCCCCTGTGATTGCCACAAGAGGACTTCTGTCCTTTCGTATAGATTGGGACTGTTTTTCTAGTTGTTGCTGAAATAAATTCTTGGGTTTGTTATCATTGAGTAGAACCCTAAGAGGTTTCCTTGCAATATCTTTCATTCGTCCAGTAGGCCGCAAACAAATGAGGGCTCTCACTTGAGAATGTGCTCGAGAATGAGCAGCAGTCTTCAATGGAGCTATACAATTTTGTGGGTCCACCATGTCAAGAGGTTACTTTCCTTACGCTTAAGGTTAGTATTCGCTAGAAATCGGCGATTATCTGAAGATAACTGCAGCCGATAGTCGCCATTACCTGTTTGATCAGCCACGATCCACCAGGTGTCATTCCTTTTTACTTAGTCCACCTGATTGAGCATTAAAATTTCTTACCACTATTACTAAATAAGAGCGCCTGACTTTTTGGAGAAAGTCTGAAAGTATTATGTAAACCTCATCTTTAACCTTGTCTGAACTGCGGTCGTAGGCAGATACGACGAAGAGGTAACGGCGAGTGTCCTTATCTTTATGAGTCCTTGATGTCCCGTTTAGTCAGACAGTGCATGGGCAACTGTCTACTGGGATCCAGTCTAGGAGAGCTATTTCTGCCCTAGGAATTAACACCAAACCTACACCAGCGAGGCAACGGGAATCCGAAGTGGCCCTTCCGGATTCATGTGTAAATCGAGTTTGTTCTTTATCTTGACAAAGTGAGGTCAAATGAATGATTTTACTCGGATCCTGAATACGCATCTCGGCGACGCAGCATGCTTCGATAGAGCGGGATTCTAGAGTTCTAGCTAAGAATTAGAACAGTTGGTTCTAGTTAGTAAACAGCAGAAAAGAATCCACAAAATAAATTTGCATTATTTCAGAGGACGAAGTTTATTAATAAGAAGTGTATTAACTATTTGATGCTTAGTTTTTAAGCCGATCTCTGAATTAACAGCAATCAGCTCCATAGCTATTTCATATTCTATGGTTTTCCTTTTTTCAAAAACTTTGGAAATTACCTAAGTTGAATTAAAAAGCAGCATACCTGAAATCCGCAATCTACGCATTTCATGCCTTGAGCAACAAGCCCCCAAATAAAATGAGTACAATAATCGCACCAGTGAGGTCCACGATAAGTGTGAATCCTAAAATTATGTGGTTTGATATTGGAAATTAAAGTAGACGGGTCAGGTAAACAAGCTATTGGCAAGTTATATCGTTCTTGAAGATTACGCATAGCATCGTTTTGTGCACAGTCAGGATCTGTAAATAATAATTCGTTTGTCTGTTGTTTTGAAGAATCTGAAGTACCCCCATTAAGTTTGGAACTATGAAATGAAACTCCGTTCGAAAAATGATGGTCAGATAAATCAGTATTAAATGAAATTTGTTTTGGACCAAGTGATTCAGAAGAAAATTCAGATTCCAACACATAAGACTGAGCACTTGGTGGAAGACCCATGTGGCTACTAGAACTACTACTATTTGTACAAGAACCTAAACTGCTTGATTCCCCAGAAAAACAACTGGCAAGAGGTGCTTGGTTTAAACCTGAATTAACTGGAGAACATTGATCATTTGAAGCAACAGTTTTAAAGACGGCTGCAGAGTTAGTTGTCATTACTGTACTACGACTCGAAATCTGAAAAAGTTAACAAATTGCGGTTACTAAGATTAGAAGAACAATAGAATCAAAAAGTGACGACAGAGAAGTATTCTATGATTGATAATTATAAAAGATGAAAATGACCATTCCTACAGTTTCGCCAGTATCCATTTATCTGCCAAACAAGTTTGTGCATTTGACTTTGAGGCACACTCGTGTATAGGTTAGGGAATACGTCTCTACTAATTAAACTGTTTATAGAGTGAGGTTCAAATTAAAAGTTCTATAATTTGCGTTTTTCTGTTAAATGTTTGCAGTCCCTAACTTATATTGTCAGAGATGAATAATGAAGGTAATGAAAATAAAGCAGGGAGTTAAAGGTACGAAACAATACCATATTTGAGACTAAAAAGAAATAATGAAAGCATTAGTATGATTGATTCTAAAACTTGGTATTTAGTTTTCAACTAGCGATTAAGGTTATTACGAGAATCCCAGAAATGCACCTTCTTAAATGACTCGAAAGAAGCCAGATATCTCACATACTGACGTAATAACTTGGTATTATATCACTCAAACTATTTTCAAGATAAAGACCTATATGTTTCGTTATTACACAGAATGACCAGTAATAAAGACCAGTTAGAAGGATCTGTATCCAAAAAAGTCACCCTAAATAATACCTCACATTATTTGGTTGATAGATTTCGATTTTGATCTTTAAAACCCAATGGAGTTTCATTGTTAAATATTGGTGCCTTTAGGTCAGCCGGCATTTTAGATTTCTTGAAAGTTAGAGAACCCATATTCATCACCTGAAGGCTCCTAGTGGATAGTGACTAGTTGAATTCTTTTTCAGTTTCGTTTATCGTGAATAGTAATCGGGGGATTGAAAACTCGTTTTCAAACCGTATTCTATTGGATAAATTTTACCATCTTCGATACCACTATTATTACAATTCCTTTGCTACTAATTTAACTGACGCAATCTCACTTTTCAGATGCGATGTGGTAACCTAAGCTGTTAAGTATCTGTGTTAAATTTCATGCTGATTAACCTCCCACTGGAACTTACCATTTATTTCTCTCGAGTGCTACTGGAAGTGTGACCGATTTATACTTTATGGTTTCTAACATTGTGAAAGGTTAGTTCTTCCGGAGACTAAAAAGATAACTAGGAACACGACAGAGAGAAGCGATGTGAAAACAATCGGAAGTTAGTTACACACAAATATCTTTGGTTCTAACCAACTATAAGGTAAGGTAATAACTGCTTTTGAAGAGCATTGAGATGTCTTAGTAGGTGGGTATATCTACATATAAATAATAATAATAATAATAATAATAATAATAATAATAATAATAATAATAATAATAATTCCATTAACGTCTGAAAATAGATAATGGATTAAAGCTGTTATTTTATGTTGAAGATATTAAGTGTCAAGATAATAACATTCCTTACGTTTACTTTAAAATAGAAATACTTATAGTTTGGAATATTATTCCAGTTGCTTTATACAACATTAGTAGTATATATTTTTTTAAAAATTATGAAATCATCAATTACCGGATAAACGGTTGGTCTAAATGGATTGGAGGGTACAGAAGATACTTGAGAATCACAACATCCATATTCAGAAGCATGAATGGGAGTATTTAAACCACTGTCATATCCACTAATTTGCGTTGTCAGAGGTGAAGCAACCTCAGAAAAAGATTGTGTACCGCTCACAATCTTATATGTGTCTAACAGTGGTTCCAACCTTAAACGAGAAAAATCTATCCCAAGATTAGAGGCAGTGATTGTTGGGTCAGGCTTTTGTTGTAATGGGCTACAAACAACATACTGTTGAACAGCCAGTGGGGGGTAATTCCGATAATTTTTGAGTTCATGTTTATCATCAGGCCATTCACGAATAAGTGGCGTTGTAGAAATGATGGATTGATATTTAGAGAGGCTATCAAGATGGCTTGCATCCATAGACTGACGATGACATGATAACTGTTTGAAATTGCTGGCATAACGTTGAGAAGCTTGGAGATGTTTTAATGGCGAAGGTACAGGACGTTCATTATTCATTACTTTGCTTTCAGAGGACTTTATATTAAAATATGCTTCTGCCTGAGAGTTGAAAGTATGATAACGAACCTAAAATGAAAAGGAAAAAAAATTGTACAGCTATAATTTCTTTAGTTAATTTACATTGCGACAGGAAGCTTATGTTACCATATCTAAAGTAAATGACTAAAGTAATTACTGGTGGTTTTAGTGCGTTTCGATTCTTCATGGTGAACTGATGTTGATAAAATTTGTTAGGATAACCCCTCTAAAGATAATATGATACTAAAGGTAACGAAAACTAGATTTTTACAAGGATAAAGATAAAAACGCGCAAATCAGTTATTCGACACGTTTAGCTTCGCACATAAGTAAATCAGTCCAATTTGACACAATCTATTAGTATGAAAAAGTGGAATCATTAATCCAAATGTCAGACAAGTAAAGGTAGTGCTACTTAGAACTAAGTGTGGAAGATAGACTGGAGAGTCAGTCAGTCAGTTACAACTTAGAAATCCGTACATGAGTACATAAGTTCAGGCTGCCATACCACATCAGCACAGATACGCAACTGTCACTTCAAATCCAATAGTGGTAGCGATAGTAAAAGTATTAGCAGTAATGGAGAACGTTAGGGTTCAAAGATATGATTCAAGAAGTATAATTCAGTGAGATGACTTTAGTAAAAGGAAGATAAAGATGATGAGGAATTCTGAAGGCTAGAATTTAAGAGAACACAAAGAGTGGATGCACCTGCGCCATTGCAAACGATTTTGAGTCATGTCATTCAAAGTCTCTAACCATTTGGTGATTTTCATCTTGCGGACCCCAACCAGGTAGTCGACACCTACCGACATGACTCAATCCACTTGTCAGTGATTTCATGGATTTGTGCCATATTTTGGTTTGGCCACCCGTAGCTTTCTTCCAACCTACTCCTACGCAACACAACATAACTCGTCGAGGTAATCGGTGGTTGAGCATTCGTAACACATGTCCCGAACACCTCGACTGATGAAGTTTCACTACTTCGTCAATTGATCTGCGATCCCTACTAAGTACTCGTTTCCTAACAACAGCATTGCTGACTCGACTGTGCCAGGATATATGAGCAATGCTCCAAAGACATCTATAATGGAATACTAATAATCTATGAATATCTAATCTGGCTGGCTGTTTCACAGCTATAAAGTAGGACAGAGCGAACTACTGCGCAGTATACTGGTCCTTTGGTTAGCAAAAGCCAATCGAGCTTTCTGTATCTGTGCTGAGATTTTGTCAGTCACCAAGCCATCAGCACTGATGAGACTCCCAAGATAAATGGAGCGGTCTACACGTTCGACTACTCCACTCCCTATCATTAGTTCAGGTGCCGATGAAACCCGATCTTGAAGCAACATTTTGCATTTCGAGGGGAATAACCGCATCCCGAACATGCTCGCGTTGTTGCTTAGGGTAGTCAGAAGATTCTGCATTTTGTCAGTGTCTTCACCAAATAGTGCTATGTCATTAGCATATTCTAAATCGATAAGCGAGCCTCCTGGTAATAGGTCCACACCTGCAAAGTAAAACATCGATTCGATCTCACCTAGTGCAGATAGAGACACAACAAGGTCCGCGCTTCGTGTTTCTGGAAGCCCTGATGGCGCTTCTCATGCCCTCGCTGGCGTGAGTATGGTATACAATCCTAGGGCAGAACTAGCTCTCTTAGACTGGGTTATCATGGACAGTCGCTTATGTGCTGTCCGACAACAAGGGACGTGTTGTGACGCTTGCGCAGATAATTCCCAGCGCGGAGCCAGCGCAGTCAGCCTTCCATCCGTCTACGTCCCACTCACAGGACTGTACGGATTCAGAAGGATAGGTACACTCGCCGTTGTCTGCTTGTCCCGCTATGCTAGTGTTTCGCAACTCCAACTTCGATACGATAAACAAAACCAGTTCTATCCATTTCTTTCCTGATCAGCTAACCAAAGTAAAAGCACCAGTTTAGTTTGGGAAGCCTTGTTGTTAATGACCCCAGTATGATCGAAAAAATTGGTAATTTATTAATTACAGTGACTCAAATATATGGACTACATAGCTGCAACCTTGACGTGGTGGTCGGGCTTGCCTATCGTGATAAACCAACCGAACTATATTGGCTGGAACATATGTTCCCGTAGGTTCTACCATGCCAGGCAGGTCAATTGGAGAACGATGAGACTAAAAGCAGCTACCCTAGATCTGAGGGCGAAGTCTTACTGCTGACTGTAGAGGGGTGTGACAGCAGTAAGGTGTTTCACTCGGACAACCATCATCTGCAACGATGCTGCCTTCTCACAAGATAGGAAGGCTTAGAAAAGGTCGACCCTAAAAATGTCACACCTCACCCTACCTCACGGATTTCCGTCTCCGTCGGTAAGGGTGTCCACTAAGGTCTTTCAAGAGCGGAGCTAATACTCAAAAAACCTTTCATAAAAAGGCCGTGCGTGACCGGCCTCAAGCAGTTGTCCCTTGTACTCTGCGGTCACGCTCCCAGGTCTCCAAGACCAACACTAATCTACCTTCTTTTTCAAGTCCTTCAAGAAACAACCTTCCACGGTGTGAGCAGCCGGGAAGTGACAACCGCCCTCATACCCGTAACAGCACACGAGACCGAATTGGTCAAAATCAAATCCTTCCTACACCCAAACATACCTCTCTTCTCTCCACAACTAACTCCACTCACATTCCCTTATCTCACTGCACCGCTAATGCAAATGATGCGAGTTCACTAAACGTCATTTCTGGTCGCCTGAAACCCCGCTCTAGACTATATGTTGGAGCTTTTAATGTACAGACATTATGTCAAACAGGGCAACACGCTTCCTTAGCTAGGACATAAGAATCTCGCTCAATCGATGTATGCTGCGTCTCGGAAACGCGCACACAGGATCTTAGTAAAATTATTAATCTGATTTCACCTTGTCAAAATAAAGAAGCAGCTCGATTTACTCATCGTGCATCTGGAAGCCCTGATGCTGCTTCCAGGGGTCTTGCTGGCGTAGGTATAGCATTGAGTGGTAGGGCAGAATTAGCTCTCCTAGACTGGATCCCAGTAGATAGTCGCTTGTGCGCTGTCCGACTGAATGGGACAGCAAGAACTCAGAAACATCTGATGTAGTAATAATGGCTGGCGACTTTAACGCTCAAGTACGTAGACTTAGTGAAAAGGAAAGATACCTAGGTAGATCTTATGCTGTGATAGCTTAGAAAACCAATAATGGCGACCGTCTGTTCCAAGTATGCTCAGATAATCGCCTATTTCTAGCAAACACTAGCTTTAAGCACAAGGAAAATCATCTGTTGACCTGGCGACCCCCGATGTCGTCTCAACGTTGGACCCAACTAGATCATATCGCCATCAGCCACCGATGGAGAGGTTCGATAGAGGACTGTCGCTCGTTGTGGTGCACATGTTTAGATTCAGACCATGCTCTAGTGCGAGCGCGTATTTGTTTGAGGCTTACTGGACGTAGGAAAGACACCTCGAGGAAGCCTCTTAGGGTTCTACTTAATGATAATGAGGCTGAGAATATATTTCAGGAGCAGTTAGAAAGAGAGTTAAGCAACGATGTAAGAGATTCCCATCCGGAAGCAGGTTGGTATGATATCAAAAAGGCTGTGGAAACAGCAGTGATATCTTCTAGTAATGTAAACCATAAGGCTAGGATGAAGCCGTGGATCTCAGTAGCATCTACCGAACTGATAGAGGCTCGAAAACTCATCCCGCCTGGCTCTGAGGGCGATGAGGAGCGGAGTCAGCTTAGGCGTAGGCTGATAAAAAGCCTACGCAATCATCGAGAACAGTGGTGGGTGGAGAAAGCGAGAGAGATGGAGAAGGTAGCGGCGATAGGCAACAGTAGGCAACTATTTAGATTCATCAAGGAAACTGGTATTAGGAACCCAAATGTGCGTGAGACTATCTCGGAAAAGGATGGTCTTATTACCCATTCTCAATCGAGGAGACTGGACTGATGGGCAGAACACTTTAAGGATCAGTTCAACTGGCCTCAAGCCACTCTCCCGTTACCCACGATCTCCAGTCATCCAGAATAGCAAATCAACGTAAGTCCCCCTAGTCTTAATGAAGCTGAGAAAGCGTTAGGAAGTCTGAACCGTGGTATGACAACATGAACTGATGTACTTACGTACGAAGTTCTACGTTGCATCTGACTGATTGACTGACTGGAGAAATAACTTGGTGAAATACAAAATATCTAGAGGAATTTAGAAGATAAAGATCTGAAGGAAGACAAAGTGTAGATGTACCTGAAACACTGTGGACAACTTCGGAATATATCACCCAAAGTCATGCGGACACCGTACAAGTAGTCTGCACTAACACGGCTCAGTTCAGCAGTCAATATCTCTATGGACCGATATCATGTTTAGTTTGATCACTTCAAGCTTTCTCCAAATACATGCTTACACCAATTATCATTTTCCGTAGAGATAGTCAGTGGATATGCATGTATAATACATGTCTTAAACATCGCAATCAATAAAGAGCCACCACCTTGTCAAACAATTTGCTATTCATATCTACTAACGCCAAACTAAAACATGGCACAAATCCATGAAGTCACTGACAAGTGAACTGAGTCATGTTGGTAGATGCAGACTACCTGGTTGGGGTCCGCGAGACAAAAGTAACCGATGGTTAAGACCTTGAACAACATGGCTAAAAATTGCTTTTACTATCGCAACCACTATGGGATTTGAAGTGACAGTTGCGTCTCTGTGCTGATGCGGTATGGCAGCCTGAACTTATGTACTCATGTACGAAGCTCCACGTTGTAAGTGACTGACTCATATCTACTAACCCACGACTGACCCCAGAATTGCTAGCTCGATGGCCCCTACGATTGAGTAATAAGCTTTACAAAGAATACATATTTCACAAAGTAGAAAGATGCAAACCGTTGCATAGTAAACCTTTAGTTAGCTAACGGATATTTCGCCTACGTCACAAAAGTCGGTTTTCAGAATTTGTATCAAGATTTTGTCCCATGCAAATGTGTAAATCGCCTCATATGTAGTGTAAAATAAATCTGAGTGAACTACAAGTATTTAGAAAAACTACTTTAAATACAATACCTTTTGGAAAAGCTTACGAAATCAACAACAGGAAGTGATGAAAAATCATCAGGAGCGTGAAAAAGAGAATATGAACGTTTTTTTGATGATCGACTATTGATGCTATCTGACATATAGCTACGTGACCTGTAAATTCGAATGTAAATTATTAGCCATGGATTTCAAGGAAATCAATGAATCAGGAGTTGCTGCGTTGATTGTTTTGGACAGTACCAAGCAGAGAGGTGGATATGTGCTTAACAAACCCAAATTTCGGCAATAAATCACAAGTTTGAATCCCAGGCATATAAGCTTTGACTGAGTTACATTATTAGCACTAAATAGTGAAAATTATGGAGGTCGTTATAGGCTGTATTTGATGTGTAAAGTGAATCGAATAGTACTCAAAAGGTGGAAGATGCTGTGAGATACCTAGTACATAGAGCACTGATAAGAACAAACGTGAGTACCAGAAGTACAAAGATAACCACACCTCGAATTTGTAAAACTACGAGTGTGAGCAATTAGATTTGTTAGCCAATTCACAAAACGCCTAAAGTTCACGAAAAAAACTACAAGGACATGCTTCTCAGTCTAACCACTGCTAAATACTTAACTCATTATACCAGTCAATGTGACACCAACTAACTAGACAAAGGATCTAAAATTCGACAATCAATGAGTTAGCTTTATTCAGGACTACATGCTTTAAAGGGCATTACACAGATAAGGGTTACGTATCCTTCGAAGGTATAATTAACTACTAGCAACAATTCGCGAGTCATTATCTAGGTGATGTTCGCATGATCAGCAAACAATGTTAAAATCACAAGGTTATATACTAGTAGGATACCGAAACAATTCAGGACTATTACCTTAGACGCTTGCAAAAAAAGAGAAGATACCTTATAAAACGGCGTCTTTTCATAAATGTTAGCTTCTGCAATTTTCTGGAGAACATCTGCTCCACGTGTTTCCACATAAAAATGAATTAGGCCATCTGCAACAAGAAGTTCCACAGTGTCAAATTTGGTTTCGCCAACAAAGTGTTGCTTCGTTAGGGGGTCAAAATATAACTTGAAGTTTTTCGCCACCTTATCAAACCAAATGACCAAGGTGTAGGCGTTCTCAGCACGTTGGCTGTCTCTAATAAGGTAAGACCCATCGTGGGCATTAGAAAGTAACTCTTCAGTTTCCTGACGTGATATCGGACCATGATATTCAACGCCATACTGAGGTGGGCAATGATTTAAAATTCGATTGCAAGGAATAACATGGGGAGAAGGAGCTTCACGCTGCAAATTGTACACTACACAATAACAATGTTTTGCTTACTTACATTTATTTTTCCAAATCCGAAGTTCAAGACCTCCTCCTGACATCACATCTTATTTCACAGGTAGAACCATCAAGTGTCAGAAGAATTATTACGAATTGAGCTCTACTCTCCAAAGATTAAAATATACACCGGTACAAGCAACCGGACGCTCAAGTTATTTAATATTCAATACCTTTCTAACGAATTAGTATAAACCAGTTGATTTCTTTGCGTTAGATTCTTGTTCTTTCGGTACGGTCCCAGGTATTTTCTAGTGTCCAATGGATGGTAGACTAGCTACTCGGGCTCACTAATTCTACTCGGTTGGCAATGGTTTGTGAATATACAATTCTCGTGATTTGAATGAGTTCGTTTATTTCATGGTAGTAGGGTTTCTAGAGACCAGCAGTTATCAAATTATCGGGGAGGAATTCAGTTGATTGCATTGTGGAAAATAATTAGGAGAAAATTCTAATTCTAAAGAAGAATTCAGAACTAAGTAAATAAACGGATGAATAAATTGATTAATTGGTAGTGAAGATTGCGCGAGTGGACCTAAGTGTAATCGACGGAAAGGAAACAGAGATAATAAGCCAGGTATAATAAGTTAATGACCTGAGAATTATGTCAACTAGCGAGTTTCGAGACATGCGTTATGAACGGCTGGCGCACGAGGGTGATGATAATCCGTACCTTAGTAAGCTGTTGTCCAGTCTTTTCTTGAAGCCACCCATTGAGGGAGCTGTGGTCATCTCGGGTGGGAGAACATTCAAGTTGCAACAATCTTAATGAGATAGTCTGCACGAACGTGGATGTTCGCTATGATGCGCCACTTTTCGAGGATTACCTCATGGGACTTGGAGGTGATGCTTCTGTAAGATTCTCATATTGAGGTGATCTGGCTTTCCGAATACGTTGTACGCCATGGTCAGATCACTTCTGATTCTCCTTCAGCTCAGGAAGAATAATCCTAAGTGCTGGAGCCTATATTCGTAAGGCTTTAACCCTATCACTCATTTCGTTGCTAGTCTCTGCAGTCGATCCAAGTGATTAATTTCTCTCTTAAAAATAGGAGATGAGACCACGCAGTAAGGCTCAAGGTATGGGTGCGCGTTTGTCTTAATTAACGTTAACATGCATCAAGCTATCTTTGAATAAACTGAAGAGTTGCATTAGCCACTGCTACGTCCCTTATATATTTTAAACTGGTGTCTATGCTTTCAGTGATACTTAGATCGAGATCGCGCACTGAGGAGTCATCAGAGAGCGGACTTCCATTGAAAGTGCAAGTCTTTTGTGTCACGTTGAGCAGAATATTCATGACGTGGCACTTCAACTTGTTTAGTTCTAAACCGTTTTTTATTGACCAATCCTCAACGGATGTAAGGTCATTTTGGAGCTGAGTTGAATCCTCCTCGTTTCTAATGGACCTCTAGATCCTTGCATCGTCTGTGTAGATCAGTGTTGCTGGGCTAACTTTATTTAGCAGACCATTATTGAACATCAGGAAGAGGAGCGGACCTCAGACGGTCCTCTCTGAAATTCCCAGTGTTGAGACCCGCCAACTCGCGTGCACTCCATTATCCTTGGTGAGAAACTTTTTATCCTCAAGGTGGTTTCTGAGCAAAGGTAGCAGTGAGTCAGTGAAGCCCATTTTCGCGACCTTCGTCGTTTGTAGTGCGTAGGGCACTGTGTCGTAGGATTTTCAAAGTTAAGGAGTTTTATGTGAACTTGTATTTTTCGATCTCAGAAGGATGTCCAGCTGTCCCTTACTATGAGGAGATTGGACGCGCACGACCTGCCTTTCCAAAAACGAAATCGAGTTTCATGCAAGATTTTGTTCTTATCCGTGTACTCCTTCATTTGCTCATTTACTAGCTCTTTTCTTACCTTTGATATTATCGGTGGTAATGAGATTGGTCTCTAACAGTCTGGGTCCTTCCTATCTCCTCCTCTGAAGATTGGAGAGAGAGTAACTTCTTTCCATTCATCTAGCAGTTGGTATGGCTCTGGCGAATGCCTTAATAGGTCACATATCTGCGAGCTAATGGCCTTTGCACACAGTTTGAAGAATATAGGACGAATATTGTCACATCCTGGTGACTTTCCTGGGTGCACGGATTTTAGCTTTCTGACTACTAAATCACGAATAAGTCGAATACTCCTTAGGCCATTAGCTTGCGCTACGCTTGAGTAGTATTCTGAACGTGTCGGTACCTGGTTCAACTGATCCGTAAAGTTGGTATTGAAGATCCACGTACCTCTATGTTGGTAAGACCTTCACCATTTGAACCTCTGAGGACACAAACACTGTAGTTAGTAGGCTTTCTTTAAGTCATAAACCGAAACATAGATTTTGGCTGCCAGCATCATTTGGAAGTTTCTTATCACTTCAAACCTTGGCATTGCATCTGTTTCTCAATGCCAGTCATGAACTACTGTCGAAATCCTTCAGAGAGACCTTCCACCAGTACCAGGCTCTCCTATTCTCCTTTAAAGCTTTGCTTGACCCAAGTTATTCCGTTCCCTATGTGTGATATGCCTGAGCTATATTGTTAACAACAACATTCTGGATGATGTATTTAACTGTTTGTCAGTGATCATCTACTGTTAGCCTCCACCATTCCAGCGGCCATGGGGTGTGTAGAAGATGAGCTCTCATTTGCGCGTAATTCGACTTGGTCTATCAAAGACAGGGCTTTATTTCTTGCCACCAGGGCGTTTCGTTTATGAACATGTTAAACATGACTGTGCCATGGTCACTAATTCCCGCTGGTGTTTGTACGTGAACATCCTCTACCACGAGCTGAACATATGTCAACAAATACTCCAAGCTTGAGTATTTTCCATCCTTAGTGGATCTAGTGGCTCTCCCTACATACACTGTCATTCCAAAGCTTTTAATGGCTGTTCCCAGTCGTCTGTGTAATCGACCTGTTGAAGCTATATCCCTTATGCTGAGATCTAGAGATGGAGTGTTAGAACCTCGAGCAAAGAGTTTGAAGTCGAACCCAAGGAGTGGCAGTTAGAGAATTGCCTCAGTCATTGTAAATCCCTCAAATCAAGTATTTTGTGCTATTGTTGTTAAAGAAAAGCCAGCACGATACTGTCACATCGGTTAGTTGGGTGCTATGATGTCGTTCGGATTTCAAATAGCTTACTTAATTACTTACGCCTGTTACCCCCAATGGAGCATAGGCCGCCCACCAGTTTTCTCCAACCAACTCTGTCCTGGGCTTCCCTTTCTAGTTCTGTCCAATGTTTGTTCATTCCTCTCATATCTTTCTCTATTTCTCGGTGTAATATATTCATTGGCCTTCCTCTTTTCCTTTTGCCTTGAGGGTTCCACGTGAGGGCTTGTCTCGTGACGCAGATAGGTGCTTTTCGTAGTGTATGTCCTATCCGCTTCCACCGCTTCTTCCTGATTTCCTCATCCACTGGAATCTGGTTTGTTCACTCCCACAGTTCGTTGTTGCTGATGGTGTCTGGCCAACGAATACGAAGTATTTTGCGAAGACAACTGTTCATAAACACTCGTATCTTCTAGATGATGCCTTTCGTAGTTCTCCATGTTTCCGCTCCATACAGTAGAACTGTCTTCACATTTGTATTGAAAATCCTGATTTTGATTTTTGTTGAAAGTTGTTTGGAGTTCCAGATATTTTTCAACTGTAGAAATGCAGCCCTTGCTTTGCCAATCCGCGCCCTCATATCTGCATCGAATCCACCTTGGTTGTCAATGATGCTGCCCAGATATGTAAAGGTGTTAACGTCCTCCAAGGCATCTCCATCAAGAGTGATTCGATTGGTGCATTTTGTGTTGCATCGGAGAATTTAGCTTTTTCCTTTATTTATGTTGAGACCTACTGCTGCAGGGGCTGCTGCTACACTGATCGTGTTCTCTTGCATTTTTTGTGATGATAGTGCATATTACGCCGTTTAAGAATAGATTTCATTTCCTGAATTGAGAAGACTAACATTAGGGACAATTGAAGAGGACGGATATTTTCCACATTATCTTAGTCAGCATGATATCTTAACAAAGATTTCATTTGTTGAAACGTTGCTATTGATCATTGTGTATGATGAAAAAAGTCCGACAATGTCGGACACAAATGGTACGCCGTATCATTTGTATCATCACTCAGCTGTTCAAACTGTGTACAACATTGGAAACACAACATTTACACCAGACGAAAGTATTACACATCACAGTTCGCATTGACGAAGTCATTTCAACAAAAGTTACTCTTTCAGCATTTAATAGTAAACTTAAGCTTTACAAATTGAATATTATTTTTCAATTGACTGTTTCATTTGTAGGAACGTATTTAAGACGTGTTATTTTAGACAACGCAGGGCGCGACACATGTGTGTGTTCATCACAGTTGTTTAATTGCTGCAGTACGACTTGATGGAAATGACGAAAATAATGTGGTAGCAATGACAACGGAGAAGGTTAACATTTGAAATATATTTATGTTAGATGGAATTTGACTAGTAGAGGAATCCAAGATGAGCGTTCTGTTAATTATCGGAATCTCCAGTCGGATCGACCTGAATTCCAGATTTGATGTCCTTTGGAAAGTGAAATCTAGTCTCGCTCATTCTTAACACCGTCCTGTGAGCCACCTAGTTGATTACGTTCCAATGGCTGAGTATTTTGGCCATCGATTTTCCACCTAATTTCGATTTGTACTGAAGCAGTGAATCCAAAGATACAGCTGCCAGACCGCCTTTATAGGCATAAACGTCTAGCTCTGAAATATATACACCTGATTTGCATACTATTTCGCGCCTATTCAAAATCCTATCACTGTTATCGTATTGAATTTATTTAAAAATAATGGAACTTAAGGAATGGTACCTCAACCACAATTTGTATTCTGAACACTGACACTGGCTGTTAAGATTGCTAAGTTTGCAATGTAAAGCGAAAATAACAAGCACTTGATCTACTCCGAAATAATAACACTGATTCCATGTTCTTCAACAGCTTAGTCAAAGATACTTTGAAATAATTTCACCGATCACTTTTAGTGTAACCGTCAAAATATCTACAAAACGACCCGATTAGTACAAGTCAGAAGATAGTGATAGAATTATTTGCATTGTGAAAATTTATTCATTTCATTCATCCACACAACTGATGTATGACTCAGGTCTTCTCAATTACAGTGATGATGGTAATAATGAAAATAGTATGTACGTGCATATCAAAGGTTTGTTGTTATTTAAATGGTTATCTAGGCAAATATTACGCTGCGGC